ATTGCTCACCAAGAACCAAATGATGATACCAGAGAAAGTAGCCGTGAGAAGAATAAACACCATGATGGGCCAGGCCTTCAGAATGGTCGCAGCAATGGCATGGGTCTTAGTGGTTCTTTCATTCCCATCATACGCCAGGAACACCACACTGGGTACGTGCACTAGCGGGATGAACGGGTGATCCCGAAACGACTTTGTTCCCTCGGGCGCGTGAACTGGAAAGGTAAAGTCGTATTCGTTTACGTCATCGCTTAGGAAACGATCCTCTGCCTCCAGCGGCGTTTTTAACATCTTGGCAAATTTTACTTTGTCCATCCCACCCTGACAGCAGTAGTCCAGTGTGTCTGCTAGTATAGAGGGGAACATACCACGGAGGTGGAGGGATTTACCTCCCATGGCAAAAGAGACGTAAGGATGATAGCTGTGAAACCCCACGGATATTGGACCTTCCGGATCTTCAAAACACCTGTTGTCCAAAGATACCTGCCTGGTTATATTCTTCAGCTTTTCAAGGTCGCTGCCTTCATACTTCCTATTCAAGTCAAGTCGTTTCATGGAAATGAGAAAGCCGTCAGTGGAGTCATTCTTGATTTTCGACCATGGAAGGAAGAGGCCTTGAGCGAGGAAAAACTGTGACACGAGAAGAGCGGCGGAAATTACCACGAAGGACAGCTTCATGTTGCAGTGATAACCTGTGCAACAGGAAAAAAAACAAATTCTCAATGTCTTCTTCTCTTAGAAGATACTGCTACGTAACTACCAGTATTGGTTTTTTATCGTTATAACTCCAATGCATCTCAATTTTGATTGGATCTCAGGATTTTAGGGGTTAATGGTTACAGCGCAATCTTGAAAAGTGTGGGGAGTTATTTCGCTGAGTGAAAATTGCTACTGTAAAGCATCAATCGTTATTGCTGCTCACAAATATAGAGTGAAAATAGTTCAAACCCTTAGAGTTAAAATTTTTTTATCGCTAAATAGCAAATCGTTTCAATACAAAATGATAAATTTCCAGTGTTAAATCTCAATCGTTGGCGCTTACATCAAATCGCTGGCGTTTTAATCTGAGTCATCAAAGCTACACCGTTAACGACTGTAGTTTTTAATTTGCAATTTGATGTCAGTAAAGAAAACTCTGCGTTCGAGCCAAGAGGCTCACATGGCGCCGCAAAGCTTATCCAATCTCCATAACGGGAAGGTACAAGGAAGGCAGTTACTTCCCCTTGGATGCGATGTTAGTTCCTAACAAGTTACCAGTCAGCACTTACGATTCGTTTTAACACCAGCGATTCATATTTTAGTCACAATTTGTATTTTTAGGCGCAAAAAGCCCTGTATAAAATACGCTGGAAGAAATGCATCTGGCACAGTATACCAGAGTTTTTCAACTTTAAAGCTACGACTACACAATTAACAAGAGAAAACAATGGGCCTTATCCTCCTTCCCTAGCAGGAAGCAACGTAAATAACCACTACTCCACCTTAATGGAATGCCAATCCAATATTCTGTGAGTGTTTCCTGATGATTTTCTGGTTTAATCATTTATACTCGCAGTTGTAGAGAGGCGCTGTAAGTTTAAAGTGTATTGTACGAGAGGTCTTCGCGATGACTATGGCGAAGACTCAAGTGCGCCGACGCGTCTCCTATTCCGATTTCAACATCATTTTATTATACTTTTATGCCGTTCTGTTGATTTTGTTTCTGCTTTAAGAATACGAAAATAATTGGAGCCTTTTTATATTTGTGTTTCACTGTGGGAGACGCTCTAAGTTAACGTTTGCTGCGTAGGACTCCTAATCCTAATGTTTGGGTTTAAAGCGTAGGAAGGCCGAAGTGTTGTATCTTTGGGTAAGACACTAAAATCTCACAGAGCTTCTCTCTATCCAGGAAGACAAAGAGTACCTGTGAACTTTCGAAGGAACCGAAAAACTTAAGAGGAGAACTTGCCATCGAGTAACGGAATTGGAAACGGGATAATCTGAATTTTTTAACTGTGCTAATCGATCTGTCTTGTATACAGACCTACCCTATTTTTTTATTTGAGGTTTCGTGATTTTAAATTACTCCGTAAATGAAAATGTTGTTTATAAACACTTAAATAGAAAGCCTTGGAATATATGTAAGACCTGTTAATTGAAACGATTATTGAACATACCTAATTATTCATGAACTTGGAGCTCATAAGTCTCATATGATGTCAAATTTTGATGAAGCCTCATTAATTTAAGAGTTACTCCAAGAATAAGGTTTAATAAATGCTTGCATAATTAAAAAGGATTGAAAAGGAGAATGAGTATAGGAATAGAGCGTTCAAAGATTTTTGAATTGGCGTTTATGTGGATTCAAATGAACGAGAAAAATTTTTGTTTTTAGGGCACTTGGAGCTGATACCCCGCAGAGCACACTACCTTAACAGCTTAATTGCATAAAAAGAAAGCTCCACTCGAAAAAAGTTCACTAATTACTCGGCTTCGGGTGAAAAAAAAACCCACGCCAACAGTGAATTATTGAGTCTAGTGGCTGCTAGAAGCCCTTTGAGTCGTGACATACCGCAAGAAAAAAACCTCTCAGATTTGGTAACATCAATATTGCTTCTTGTTACGTTTAGAATGATACGGGGTAAAACAATCTTGCGAACAGAAGAATATCTTTGATATTTTACATTCCAACACTAAAGCGTGGGCTTGTTTACCAGGATTCCTTTGGGATGATAATTTTCCTCAGTTATTATTCAAGACATCTCTGGCCGAAGGAACACTCGAAGGAACAATTTAGCTATAGCTGACACTAATAGTTGCGGTTTTTATTGTTTGTTTGGTTTCACAAGTTGTTAAAGCCAAAATATCGATGTTTGCCGTAGATAGTTCTGGTTCTGAATTGTTTTTTATAGAAAAATTCATCTTCGTTCCCACAAACACAAACAACTATGTTAATCAGATTTTTTTGGAAAATTTATTAGGTCAAGCTCATTTTTTTCTTTAGCTTACTCAAAATTAAAAGAGGGTTGGCTTAGCTTATTTCGTCGTGCCATGCTGAGTGATTGAAATTTTGAAATTGTCAGTACAGTGTATCATTTAAGCTTTCGATTTTAAATCGCGAAAAAATTAAAAGGATAGATTTTACTACACTAAGAACCCGTTGCGATATGCATTATCAACTGAAACAATAGATTGGTAACGGTGACCGGATCTATGTAAAGAATATATAAATCTCAAACTAAGGAAAAGAGAAATATAACGATGTGAAAGTGGAATTTTTTTAATACTATGGAAAACTTCAGAGTTGAATGCTAACAAATGCATGCTAAAGTAAACTGACGAACATTTTTAGGAAAAGTTTCCTCCTTTATATCTAGCTTATTAAAGTTTCTGAATTGTGAAAAGAACTCACGCTGGCCGAAAGTTACGACCTCAAGCTATTAAGCTATGAAAAACAAGCATCTTGTAATTTTTCATGTTCTACGTTCAGCTAAAACTTCAGTATCCAGTAATTTCCATTTGCTCATAAGACTAAACTGATCCGCAGTTAACTCATCGAATGACAACGGTTTCGATTTCGTCACAAAATGTCGTTACGCGTATCGATCGTTTTGTTTATTTTGGAATGAGTACCTTGTACGAGCGTGAGTGCTCGGTGGAGACATACTAAAACATTGCCTTACCTCCAATGACTACGACGTAATTCGCCGGCTCAGGTTATTTCACCCTCAAATGTTTGCTCTGAGATAAGAAGTGTCTCCTCAAATGTTTTCTTTGAGTTTTGCCTCCGTTAATTGTTTGCGATTTACCGAATGAATCGCGCTGAAAAACAAAATGTGGTCAATTTATTATCCATATCCTGCCCGCGAACACCATGCAATATTAATAGAAGTTTATTATAATTGTCGCCATTCAAACCTGAATTATGCAATGTCTGCAAGGGGTCCAAGTATAGAAGACGATATACCCTGAGGGAATGAGATTGCTGATTGGAGAACATCCCCAAACATCGAACCCAGGCTTGACGAAGGAAACCATGATAGCTTAAGCATTATTTGTAAATCGTTCATCAGGGGAAACCATATTTCAGAGGATGATGGCTTTTAAGTATATTGAATACTTTACAAGCGCTAAATATTACATGTGTATAAATCACTCTAAAACTAAAACAAACTAAATTTAAAAAAAAACTAATCAGGAAAAAAAATCAACAGACTTTAAGGCGTCTCAAATAAATGTTTTTATAAAACCACCAACGATTTCGTCGGGAAAGGAACATTATTAAAAAAATTATTAATAAAAACGTGAATATTCACACTTAGAGCTGTTTAATTACGTATTGAAAAGCGGCAATCATATCCTTTTGGAACTCATGCTTAATTTTACGCCACCAAATATTGTGAATGAAAAATTTCATGACGTATGCGCTTGAGAAAATCGTTCATTAACATGCTGGAAGGTGGTGCAAACATAAGGCAACACTTATTTCATTTTGGTATAAAATGGCTTGCCAGATTTGCCCCGAGGGAGTTGGACACCTTCTATGGTCATCAAGCTGCCTTAAAGCATCTTTGATATTACTTTCCTCTCAGTTACGAAGTCGAGCCTTCAGATTACTTCCTATCTATAGCCATATTGAGAAGTTAGAGTTTTAACTTTTGTGGTACTCCTCAGAAGGTCCAACGAACAAGAAGGCACAACTTTTAATGGAATCAACGACAACACCATTGAATTGTTGATCGTGAGGATGTGATAGATTATTTGGATTATAAATCTTTGCAAATCTCAAAATTTTAAAATTCCACTATGAATATCTTACTGGCGCCAAACAGGGAACTTGTGGAACGTACCCAGTTCTGACCCCTTTCGATATATCTTTTATTGTCTTTCAAACCAAACGCTCCCTTCGCTTTATGTTAGAGAGTTTTTAATTTTGTCCTCGCTATACTGGAAATTTTAAGGTAGTTATGAATTATAGATAGACATCATGTTAATGGCCCCTTCAAAAATTACCTATCAAAAACTAAGATATATTATTTATGCAAGAATATTTTCCTTTTCCATTCCCATTCTTGTGGTTGCAATCAGCTTAGCCTGCGAGTGAACAGCTCCATTTACGGTAAAGATAACGAAAATATAAAGCTGGAGAGCGAAAAAGAAGGCTACCCAAGTAACTTAATTGAACTTTTTTTTTCAGTACAGGAAACTTAATTTTACTTGCATAGGACGAGAGACGTCAGACCCCTTAAAAACCCCACAGGCATTTTTTCTATCGTTAAGATATGATTTCTGAAAATTCTGTCAATGAAGAATTAGAACTAATCCTTCATAGTATTTTATAGATGTATCATTCCGTAAATGTTGTGCATATTGCAAGAGATGTGTTTCGTTTTTTAAAAGGCCTGAGTGAGTTGCACCCCTGGTTAAAATATAGGTAAAGAATGCGTAAAAGGTATTTTAGATGCAAAAATAACAAATCGCTAGTCATACAGTTTTGTTTCGAGACTTGTCACTCGACTAATGGCTCAGAGAAAAATTTAAAGACAGTATTTTCTACTTCACCACAAAATATTTAATTTGCGCTCTTCAGCCGCTTCCTGACCTGCAATTCGAGGTTCAGTAAGCGTAAACAGAAGCGCATAGGCTTCTGAAGAAAAGAAACTTTCTTATTTAGCTTTATTGCTACCATAAAAACTCGCGTGCTTCTTTCGATAAGGTGGCTTAACGTGCGCAATTGAGTATCTATATTTCTCGAATATAATTCTTTTATTTTTCACTTTTACGAAAGGTTCTAGTTCTTGCTTCTTTGCAGAAATAACGTAAGGAAACATGTCTATTGAGTGAAATTCTCCTCGAACGAGTTTTTCTATTACATTTTGTGCGTCTTGGAAGAAAGGACCTAACTTTCTCAAATTAGCAATTTCCAATTGGTGTAAATCTTCCACAATGTTAATCACGTTCTTGTGGGTTTTTTGGTGCAAATAATTTATTGTGGTTACCCTCACGCTGAAAGTTATTCTGCACCTCACAGAAAGCAAATGGGAAGCTATACCTGAATCAGATCCGTTCACTTTTGTTAAACATTTACGTCACTCACCTCCTTCTCTTTCGAGGAGTAAATAACTCACTCTGTTTCGCAACAGGCTCCAAGCTTTCGTTTCTGAATCACGTTCGGATATATAGATCTATATACACTCAACTCGATTTAGATTAAGCTATCCGTCATAATGTATAGTATTATCCTGTAATCTTGCAGACTTTATGTTTTAAACCTCAAAAATACATGGCACTCATCGGTGTTTGATGTAAATACGAGTCCAGAGTTGTGGGAGGCAATACATATATCATGTGAAACATCTCTTTTTCCGGAGACTTTTATGTAAAGCTTTGTAAACAAACATGATGATAAAAAAGGCGACAGTCACTTGTGTCCGGATATTGAGTAGATTACCTTCACTTTCCAACCGTAAAGAATGTCTCTCTACGTGAATTAGAGCCTTAAAGTTAAGCTATATTTCATTCAGAATTCTTGAGTCACGGAAGAAACTAGAACAAAGTTACTTTTAAAAAGATAATTAGTCAAAAACCAAAGTCTTCCAAGAAAATAAAATAATGCTTAAAAAAAAATGAAATTGATAAACATTTTTCACTTAACTTAAATGAATTTCTTAAAATTAAACTTAAAAAATTCTTCAGATGTGTTTATTTAAATGAACGAATCGAGCGCGCTAATGCAGCAGAGTCTGCAAAATGAAAAAAATCTTGAGAAAATTAGTTTATAAAAATTCGCAAGCAAGGAAATTAGACAAACTATTCAGCAGTTATATACATTGTATCGATTATTATGTAAACAGAAATGCTCTTTTTGTTGTAAAAAGGGTCATATCTTCAAGTATAGTTTTAACTTAAGAGGTATATGAAAAAAAAAATGTTTTTGAGATGGCATTTCCGTCGGTGTGCGGTTAGTGCGAGAGTGCGAGGGATGGCTGTAAAGGTAAACCAGACAAAACAACAGCGGGATCCTTGAGTAAGACCGATAAATTTCAAATGTATGGTCGAGTATCTGAAAAGAAATTCTATTTGAAGCACTCCATGTGGCATGGGATTTGGGTAGAAGATTACAATATCAAGTCAAGTTCAGGCACATCTTAATGACAACGTCTAAAAATCGTACCATCGTTAAAATGAAAAGGAAGCAAAACGCCTTGAGCGACATAAAAAATTACTTTTGACGTGAGAAAACCACAAAATGTGAGTTAGGTAAGGTAAGAAAAAAAAAAAAAAGCCCAAACAGTGAGCGTGGAGAAGATTGATACGCATTGCAGATGGCGAACTTGTAAACCTAAAGATAATTTATTGACGATAGCCAGTCAATAACATGGCCGCTTTAACATAAGAAGCTCTATTCCGTAACATTTGATCAAGCTGCACTTCCTTTTGTTTTCAGACATCTCGGGGACTGTTGCATATTTTATCAGTTAAATCATTTCTCGTTCGTCTCTGTTAAAATTGCGAATTAGCCGAATTTAATTGAAGAATTTTGGATAACAGACACCTTTAAAGAACACCGTCGTACAGAAAAACCGCATACATATGAAGTACTTTTTAAACTACTGACCAGAACTGATCAAAGGTCGAAGTCATACTTTTATGTTATCTCTTGCTGAATATACATCTGAACAGACGTACGAAACTGGTCAACTCGCTCAAAGAGACATAATTTTCTCTCTAATGTTGAGTTTGAAAAACCTCTATCACCCATATTTACAAAAAGTCGGGGCAGATGGTGTTTCAAACGGAACCAACATTTGTTTACATTTGGTAAAAATAGTTATATAATTAAAAAATATGTAAAACGTCTTCCTCGAGTCTCTTGAGACAAATCGAACTTCACACTCAGTAGAATTTCGCGTTCTGATGCTTCGTGAGCACATTTTGGTGAACTTAGCCACAAAGTACCCATTAAATAGCTTTACATAAGACAAGCTGCGTGCATACTGCTAGAATTAGCGACTCAGCTGAACGTCACTTGCGAAGTCAAATCAATCTTAGAAATGAACTTAGTTTGTCGAAGAAAAAGAATTCCCGGGGTTTCGTTTTTGAGCTCATTGCCTCAAATGTTACACGATTCTCAGCTCATTTGCTCCAACTGAAATAGCACGCGATTAGACCGCGGCCTTGCCTACAAGTTCCCTACCTTGAATTCCACAGATCACAGCCGATTCCAACAGAGTGATTCGCCTTGTGCCGTGCGGAATGTCTCGCCTCCCTTTCTTAGGTGGTTTTTAAATTGTTATGAAGCTAATCGCCTCCCTGGAATTTCTTGTAAATTATTTGGCTGTGGGGAAATTTGCGTTAAATATTAATAATAGAAAAAAATAGAGGTTACAGATATTGTATCATGTGAAAATTGCAAATCTTATTTAATTCTTGCTTTTTTTGAACTCTTTCTTTCCGAGAAAGACATGCGATTAAATGTTTTTATTCACATTTTAAGCAAATGAAGTTTTATAGATTTTGAGCCAATCAAATTCGAAATAAATGTCATATTATCAAACAGAGGCACAAGCCATAACATGGGAAGCTCCGAGCGCCGAAATACCATTAAACTATTTCTTAGAATAAACACAGAGTCGCAAAACTAATTAACCAATAGGGGGATTTCCATCTTTAACCAATGATATTCTCACATGAAAGATAAATATCATTAGAAATTCATTCTAATTTCCAAACCGCATAATTGAAAAATTGTAATAAGGCGATAAAGTTATTTGACACGTTCGCAAGGAAAGAAATATCGATAACTGCTTGTGCAATGGAATGTGAGGATTTATTTTAAAAAAAGATAAAAATATTAATTTTTGTTTTGACTGAACCAGACCCAGTTACTACGATCAATTGTTCAATTTTAAATTTTTATTTTTTGTCATTCTGAGCATGATATTTACTATTAGATACTTAAAATGATTTAGAATCTCACCGAGAACATTATTGATATTTACTCTTTTCATTTATTTTATTCATGATTTTCTTGTTCTATTGTATCTTTTTGTCTTACCACTGTCAGTTTTGAAGAGGTAGATCCCGGCGTAAAATTGTCCTGAGGAACATAAAATTTATTGCATTAATGAAACACGTAATCTCTCTATATTCTCTCGTCAAGTATTTCGTAAAGTGAATACAAGGGGCTAATATTTTATGTATGCTGTTTCAGTCGATTTTTTTTAGGGATATCGCATTATCTGCCCATGCAACCGGTTAGTGGGCACTACAGAAGTTATTCTGCAAAATCTAGAGCATTCCTCCATCAAAATTGATAATTTAAGCTTATATGATATCCTGTTGTATAAGGAATAAACATCCTCGATTTTAATTCCTTTGCGTACCTGAATAGCCAATGAAGATATTATTTATGCATTTTCAAATCAATTTTTAGCTTTTAAAATTCAGCTTAAGATGTGAGCTCACGCAAGTTACTATTATCAGGAGAGTTATCTTAATAAACTTAATGCTATTAAAAGTGTCGTTGAAGGCCAAATTTTTCAAGGAAATTATTGCCAATGGTTATAAGAGCTTACTTCTGCATCAAATTAGAGAACTATTTGTTTTGTATGGTAGTGTTACTTTATTTTAGGTTCAATTTAAATACAGTTTGAGCGAAAAAGCTGTGATCTTTCTTTTAGCGAGGTTTCAGATGTGTTACTGATAAGAAAAACCAACATTTGGCGCAATAGTATGGGTTATCTGGCTTTGATAAAGCTTTTTGTTACAATTAAATCGTTCAAAACTTTCACTTAAGAATATCGTCTCCTTTTTTTCAAATATTATCGCCTCTAGGATAGTTACCAGTCAAATTAATGATCATTACCAACTGAACTCTCTAACGCGAAATAAAATGGCAGAGAATCTGAATTTCATAACATTTATTTACTTTTTTTCAGACTTTTTGCAAAGGAAGTCGTATAAACAGCTGTTGTTTACATTGATGTTTTCAATCCATTAGGCACTTCTTGATAAAGTCAAATGTTAGTCCGACGATTGCTGTGAAGCGATTTATAACGTCATGAGTACAGACAGGAACCCATTACTAAAGTAATGGGCTCCTGGTAAAGAGTAGAAAATTAAACCATTTTCAACAAAGAATTCACGTTATTCACTCAATTATTGAGGACGTTTCTTCGTCATCAGAAGCTTTTAAAAAGCGGCAATTTTCAGTTTTACTGTACGTTAAGTGACACTGTCCCTTGTTGACAAAGTTCAACCGTCCACGATACCACAAATGGCCGCTATCGTAGATGCCGTATTGGAAGCCATCTCAGATGACGTCATAGGTTTTGGCGACTGCTCAGTCTCAGAAAATTCGCTTTTCCTCCATAACATAACTAGCTACAACTATAATCATCATGATCATTGAAAGAGTCGTAGTTCGATTATTTTTCTTTGAATGTCACCGTGAGCGTTGTTACAGATACGTTTTTAAACCCCCCAGTGAAAACAGACATGACTGATCTGTAGCAACCGGTATCGCTCATTGCAATGTTTAGGTTTAATCTGCGATGTCGCCGACTGGGAGAGAAGCCCGCAGACGGCGTTGATTACTCTACTGGACTCTTCCAAACACAACTAAAAACAGCCACGGGTGTCACAAATACATGATTTAGGATAAGGGACGAATCGGTTTTTATAGGAACCCCGACATGGATTGTGTTATCTTAATCTTCTACATCCCCTGCCATCCTTGTTCACTCTCGGTTCATCATTCTTACCGTTCAAATATCTTTTAGCCCTGTCGAAGTTAAAACTACTTTTAACCGTCCCAAAAAAATTATTCAAAATATTACGACGTAGCGCCTATAATCTGACAGCAAAAGGTTTATTCAAACGCACTGCCCAATACAAGACAAGGTATTTAATTGCTGATATATTTTACTCATTTATGTATTTCCGTTTTTAAATCACTAACAAACGAGAGTTTTTGACAAGTAATCAGTAACAAGCTTCTTTCTCAGTGGACAAAATTGAATTTTACGAGAAGATCGGCAATCGCGCGGTCAAGAAAGAAAGCAACAAATGGCGTCTTTAGGGGTTGACGGCATTTAAATAAACTGAACTAAAGAAGGAAATCAGCAAAATTTAACTTATTGTCTTTTTTGTTCTCATTCCGATCCTAGTTTTTCCTATATATGTCAGATGTTCTGATGTAAAATTCCGAAAAGGATGCGTACTATAAATTGGGATTGCACTGATGTATTACCCATTGGTTTTTGACACTACTGTATTCAGCCACCCATTGGTTTTTGACACTACTGTATTCAGCCACCGTGGAACACCGGTGGCTGAATCTCTAGGAATAGTTTGTCAAATTAAGCTGTAATTCATTTCATTTCTGCCAAAACTCAACCTAGCTTTCTCACATTTTTCTATTCACTTCTTATATACAAATACGAAGAAACTATTCACCTCTGAACAAGGTTCTGAAGGAAGCGATGAAATAATGTAGTTTTACGAAGTTGATTGGGGATCAAAAAATTGGCTTACGGGCTAAGGTACACGAACAGTGTTGTTTTTGTTCACAATGCTAAAACTTGAAAGAACAGTCTGTAGATTAAAAGAACGCTATCCGATACAAGCATAACCAGCTAACATAATATAAACAATATTTTGATACTGTTAGTTTACTTTAAGCGGTTTAAAGTGGATAGCATTTTAATATGAATTTCAGAACGAAGCCACTTTGTGCTTTTATAGCTTTGAAAACGCTACATGTTTTTATAAACTGGAGGAGGATGAAGCCACTGAAAACGAAGTAAATAAAAATCGCCAAAACATATTCTTCCCCTAGCCTCTTCAGAGCTTTTTTTTGCAAAATGAGAGCTTATAAGCAAGAACAATGATATATCTTACCTATAATCACCTGCACTTTTCACAACAGTGAATCACTTAAAGAAATACATCTGATTTCTGGAAATCATCTTGCCAGAGTTTTGCGCTTGAATAGAGTAGTGATATCTCGATGTGGAAAATATTCCTTATTTATAAAGGTAATTGTGATTGTCCAAGGCCAGCCAAAATAATACCATTATGAGTTGTTTTCGATAAGTTTTTAAGAAGGAAGGCTATTGTCTAATTAATTACCAAAAAAATTTGCATGAAACACACTTATCAGTTTTGTTATTGTTTATTTTACACCGCCACCTTAATTATGAGGATGACCACAACACGGAAACCAATACAAACTGCAGGAAAAAGATTCAGCTGTTTCGTGCGGGAGTGTTTCAGCCCTGTATTTCAAGCCAGAGTTTTTTTTTGTTTTTTTTTGTGATAACCATAAAAGTTCGCTTTTAGCCTAGGGCTCAATTTCGGCAATTATCTGTCTCGTGTCTTAATTATAATTTACACAGCCAGGGAAAAGAAAAGTATTCAAACCATTCTCACCAGTTAATTCCGTAAAAGCAATTATGACTGTGACTGCGAAAAACATGATGAAAGTGAGACATCATCATCATCTAGCTCATCGTCAGCTGAGGCGAAATTCCGGATAATAGATACGCTTGCAAATATTTATTTTTATTTCGCATCTCGCTTGGTTGGTGAGCAAACAGTGTTCTAGAAAGATATATCAATTAACTGCAGGACGCAATTCCGGTATCCAACTTTGCAAACAAATTTAATTACTTGGCAGCTGTTGATATTGTCGTCTTTATGGCGGTGACGGATATTCTTTTCATCATACCTCATATTCATATCTAAATTGATGCTTTCGTTAAATTAATCTTATTGTTTTGCCTTCTTTCAACAGACTAATTAAACCTTTTGTGGGGTATTATGACCTGAGGAAATTTTTGACTATTTTAGAAGATGTTTATTTGGCTGTGTAAACTGGCTGTTGTTTAACAACTCATCTTTACTTGAAATCGCAAAGCCACCTGAATTTTTTTTAATTTTTACTGGAAACTTCCCATTCTAATAAAATTTTGATATTCAAATTAATATGTAATAAACTTCTTTTTTGAAAAGGAGCATCTATTTAGGCAACTATGGAGAAAAAACAAAAATGAAGCTTTTAATCGACGTTTACCTAAAATTATCAAGAAACTTGGGTGGCAACTTTGAAATAAGGGTAGCAACTTTCTGGTATTCCAGTGGTCAACTTTTCAGCACAATCGGGACAGGCTTAGGCCTCTACACAGACTTGAAATTTGAGTGATCAACAGTTCGGGCCAAAGACAGTTTTGTCTATACCATTTCCTGCGATATGATTGGTCTTCACAAAACCAAAACAAACTGACGTGGCCGAGAGAGGATTGGAACTATTCTCTTTCTTGCTAACTTTTCCTTAGTGGCTATGCTGTAATGCGAAGGGGACGGCAGAACAGAATTGACAACAAAGTTCAAGATAGATATCACTGACTTATTTATTTCTATGTTGAAAATCTAATTTTCGACAGACATTTCAGTTCGGTTCTCTCACCCCGCATGTGTTGCACGTACACTAACGTACTTTGCACGCACTTTTGTCATCTAATTCGATCCGTTTCCGGTGAGATGTCTATAGGTCACCTCGTGGAAGGTAGTGACGACTGAAAGTATATTTATACTTCTGTCTCATCGGAAATTTCAACGTGAATGTTTAAAAAAAATTTCTCGTATTAGAATTCGACTTCTGCTTTTAAATGTGAAACACACATATTGAGATTTACCGTAATATTTTTCGTTTTTCTCAAACAAAACCGTTTCATAAAAATGACAGCATCGCAGCTCGACTTAAATTCATGACTTCTCGCACATATTTCAGCCGACGCCGTTCAAACCGCTCTTACGCGACATTCTCTCTGTACTCTCAATTGAACTAGGTCCCAAGGGCCATACATCTCAGAGACAAAAACGTGGGGCTTGCTCAAGTTTTTGAAATTGGACCGTGACGTCATATTTCATGACACACCTGTCTATGGCCCGGACTGATGGACAAAATGTCTATTTCCCCACGAATGATAGAAATTTTACTTTATTTTTAGAAAACTCGTTTTAAGCAAAAAGAAAGCAAAGAGAAGTTTCAAAAAGGAAGAAAAATACCTGGGCATTTCTCTCTCCAAGGAAAAAATGATAAATGTAAAAAA